TTATTTCATATTTTGAATTAGCAGATCTCTGGGCTAAGGAATGTATACATGTTTGATATTCATTCATATGAAATATTTATCAGGTGTGCTAATCTGTGCCCTGTGGTATCAGACTCTGAGATATAGTAGAGAACAAGGCAACTAAATCTCTACTCTCATATTTGTGTTTCAGAGTATTAAACATATATATGTGTGTGTATACTGAGGGAGAAAGGAAGGAAGAAAAAGAAAGAAAATAAAGAAACAAAGAAAAGAAAAGAGAAAAGAAAAGAAAGAAAAGGAAAGGAAAGAAAAAAAAGGAAAGGAAAAGAAAGAAAGAGAAATTGAAAAGAGTAAAAGAAAAGAAGAAAAGAAAAGTTTATAGTTATATGATGCTGAAAAAAAATGTGAATTTCATTTTTACCTACTGGGGTAGCAGTTGATGATAGTGAATCAAGGAATCCCACACACAAATATTCACACCAAGGACAGAAATGTGCCAAGAAGAAGACAGATGTAGACACAGTTAGAGGGGATGGTCAGATGGACAAGGTTGTCATCTGTGAGTTTGAGAAAATCTTTTGTCTAGTTTTCAATTTTCTCATTTCTAAAATGAACAGTAGGTCCAGATCTCTTAAGATCCCTTCTAATATTTTATGTTAGACATTAAATGACTGGAATAGAGAGTTTCAGTTTTCTCTCTAGTTTGTGTAACCAGTGCCAGTGGTGGGGTCTCGGTTTATGTATCTACGTAAGGTAAGAGCAGAGATTATAACTGGGGCTTCAGGCTGATAATATTTCCTCCGTACAAAACCAATCACATATTTCTATTTAGGCCTCTTTACTTCATTCTGTGGAAGAAAGATACATAGAAACACAATATTGAAAACAGAACTGGGCAATAAGCACCCCGTGATAACTTGCAAGGTCCAAATCGAGACTGTTCACATGATGATTCCTACTGCGTATTTGAAGATGGAATATAAGGGAAGGTGCCAACTGGGTTGTGTGTCCTGAGACAGTACTTTTAAGTTATGAAGGAAAGAGATGTGAAGTATAGGCTAGAGGATAGTAAATGGGAGCCTCGCTGACAAGGTAAGAGACCATCAGAGCTTGGGGCAAGAAACCTACTGGCCCAATGAGAAAGGTGGTCAAGGAAAAAGTAGTTCTTGGGTCTCCTGGGTGGCTCAGTCAGTTGAGTGTCCGACTTTGGCTCAGGTCATGATCTCACAGCTCCTGAGTTCGAGCCCAGTGTCAGGCTCTGTGCTGACAGCTCGGAACCTGGAGCCTGCTTCAGATTCTGTGCCTTTCTCTCTGCCCCAACCCACTCGCATTCTGTCTCTGTCTCTCTCAAAAATAAATAAACGTTTAAAAATTTTTTTTAAAAAAGTAGTTCTTAATGCTTTGGGTAGGAAAAGTCGGTAACTCCAACTTTTGTATGTTTATTTTGATACACATATGGATATTAAAAAGTCTTTTTGTTCGCCACTGCTCTGATGACTATGGCTGGCTTGTGATGCCAGGTCAGGCATAGGATTGGAATGCAACTGACTTAGAGATTTTAGTGCCCAGCAGGAAAAGGAGCAAGCCCATGCATCTGGGGAAGAAATCAAGTCAGCCTAAGCTGACTGTGTAAAACCAGTTCTTTAATCTTAAAACAAAGAAATGTGAGTAAGGAGGAAACAAACGTAGAGAAAAATGTGGGATCGGAGGATGGCTCTTGACGAGTGTCCAGACCTGAAGAAAGGACTACAGCCACCATATTGCAGTGATCGTGTTTCCAAAATGTCCAGGCACATTGCTTGTAGTAATCAAGGAGCAACAAATACTTTTATTAAACCATGGGATCATAACAATTCAACAAAACTGAACCCAAAATACCATGTTTTCTGTCTGTGGCCTTCATTAAACCACTACAGTTTCCTTGACATGACATTTGCCAAAGTGTCTAGGAATATACCTGCCACATTCTTAATTTCTTGGTTTGTGTTACTTTCTTTTCACCCCCTTTGTTTCTTCCTCATTGATATTATTTTTTGCTGAGGACAGCAAGAGGCCCACTTGGTATTAAAAAGGAAGAAAACTTGTAAGAATTCAAAGTTTTATTTCAACTACTCAAACCAAAATAAATGATTTTTTTGTCTGTTTCTTAGCATATTGCTGTACATAGGAGCAGATATTTATGGGAAATGTATGTATTACCCAGTTGATTCTCTGAATGGCTTATGGCTATAATTATTTAAATTAAAGTCTTTCTGTTCCCTCATTAAAAATAGAAAATGTGAGCCTCCATTTATATTTTGGACACTTGAAAAGAAAAATAAATAAAATCCCACCATGATAGATTATAACATCAAAGAAAATTATAGTTTTTCTCTTCTTAATTAAGACTATTCGGAGAAGTAGCTGCTTATGCACATACTTTGAAATTATCACCTGAAGCAGTAACTATTAAGCTGTCTTGTCGAGTGCTGCTTGGCTTGCATTTTTAATAATATTTGTGGTACCTTGGACTTTGTACAAAGACTGTGAATTGCTTAATTTATAATCCTGGAAGATGCTGTTTCTCTGATTCCTCTTACTTGTCCAATTCCTCCTACTTGCTAGCAGTGTTCTATTAGAATATATGATGCAGAAATAGTTGTTTTTTTTTTTTTGTAAATGATTTAAGGTCAAAGATTTGAAATCTGTTTTTTGTATTGGAAGACTGTGATAAAATAATCTGAAACAGATAATATAGCATTTTGATTTTCTTTTTTTTCAGAGAAAAATTTGTTGATGCCATTTTCCATTTTATTAATTCAAAGAATATATATCTATTTAGTTTTGGTACAGTAAGTTGATCATTTGTATTATTTTTATTTGGTTAGTTGATGTGCTCTTTTGCATGAAATATTAATAATGGCATTCAGTAACCATTTATAATAAAGAGATTTATAGCTGGATCACTTCAGGAAGCTAATGTAAATAGTTTAGTGACAGATTGCTGAAATAGAAAGCTGTTTTGGAAATCCAAGGCTAAATAGAGTTTATGTACATTTTGAGAGAAGACAAAAGTGAGATTAAATGAAAGAACTAAGGCTTCACATAACACCATGATGTGAAAGTGGTTAAGTTAAATCTTGATGTCTTTCTCTTGTGAATTTAAGGAGCTCAGCAGTTTTTGCTCATTAGCACATTTTACTTATGCTTGTCTGATGGCAGCTAGAATTTTGAGAGGGACCATCTGAGGTACACGATTTATGTGCATCCCTTGTGACTCCACATTTTTCACATCTTTGTCAGTTGAGCAGAATCAAGAAATAATGCTCTATTTAAATTCATGTCTAAAGAGATGAAGTTTATGAAGTTTATTATCTATAATATTTAAAGTCTGAAATCAAACTCTGGATTTATTGAAAGTCAGTATGATTTCAATGCTCTTTGTGTTTCAGGGTCATTTTTAAGGATATATATATATATATATATATATATATATATACACTTGTATATATACACTTGTATATATACACTTGTATATATACACTTGTATATATA